TCATTATCATAATTCATCCTATCTATCATTACTTCATTTGTATCAGTAATATTTTTGTAGTAAAGATTGTCGTTATAAATTCAAATCATAACGTACTGTTAACGTACTTTTTCATAGTCATAGTGTTTGTCAAGCTTTGCGCAGTAATTAAAAGTAGTATTAATTGCAATAGAATATTTATTTATTAACATATTTACAAACAATTGTGAAATAAAAATAGAGAATTGAAAATAAAAAAAATATATATATAAAAAACAGGCTTAAATTTTAGTACAAATTATTAGTAGATGCTTATAATTAACATAGAAAGTAGTACCGCTTTGCATTTATGTAATTAGTCGCTGCTTACTAACAGTATTTGGCAATAATATTTCAAATTCTATTTTTTTATTTTTTAGGTCGGTAGTCTGCAACACATACCGGTGATTGCGGTTCGACTAGTGATTGCTGTAATTGGGTCATTCTTAGGAGACTCATTATTTAGTTGACTTCGGTGGTAATATTTTGTTTTATAGTTTTGGCATTATTAACATTATGTATCAAATCAATATTTAATTTAAAACATTTTAGTAGTAAAGGGAACCACATAGACTAAATATATAAGAAGGAATTCATTTAAAAAAAAATGCTGTCCACCGAAATCAATGTTCTAAGCACCGAAATCAAATATATCAAATAATTTATTTTCTGTAGATTATTTTTCTTCTATAAATGTTTTATTGCCTTAGATAACTTTGAACATAATGTGTGTGAGAAATTACTGGCTAATTTTTGAGTAAAACATTTTTATATCGAGATTATATCTCATTTATTAAAAACCAAAAATCAACCCTGGAAGCGTTAAATTATTATGTTGACAGTAATTAAAAATAGTAGGTAGGTTTAATAATATTATTTGCGCCTGGCAAATGTGAAAAATCTTGTTCGGTATATACTTAATATACGCCAATGATCCGGTTTATACGTTGCGACGCTTCACATCAAAAATGTTATATTCCTCGTCACTGCTTTTGGAATTGCATCTTTGGAATTTAAAATGTTGGAGAATACATCATTACTGTCACACGTGTCTAAAAGCTGTCATTTTCATGCAATTCAATATCTGATGTTAAGGTATGGGACAGGCTCTGATTGGTTTCATAGAAGTGATGAGCAAGATCAGCAGAATAGCTACTGCCAGGTTTAATCAGAATGTTTGATAAAATTTCAGGTTTATTAGATTTGACGCCACTCCCTTTTTTAGCTTGACTTGACTTTGTAATCAGATCAATCTTATCACTCTTGTTCTTGTTGGTTCTATCAGCCAGCACTCCGTTAGTTTGCTTGCCAATGATGTATAACCCTAGATGATAGCCATGTTCACACGAAGTTGAATTATACTTACAGTCGCCTTCGGCACAACAAATTTGTATACCGCCTGATGAACTTTCAAAGTCCCTGCAAATTGCTTGGTCCCTGCAAATTGGTGGAATCAACAGCTCTTTTTCATAAATAACAAAATCGTAAATAGTTTTCGTTATAATACCTTGAACAGATTGCAGATGAGTCATCAATGAAGATAAGCTTGTGATATCATAGCCTTGAGCAACTATTCGATCAGCTGTTCTTTTTAGAATGTCACTTGCGTATTTTGTACTATAATTCTCACTAGAATCGCAGTGAATTATGCACTCTTCATCAGTGAGATTAGTTTTCAATTTTTTAATAAATCTGTTCTATGCGATCATAATCCCGCAGTGAATCACGTAACGTGGTAACATTTTTTCAAAATTTTAAAATGGCGTCTTTAGGGAAGGCATTACTTTTATGTTTCGCTGTGTGTATGGTGTTTTTTTTTACTCCATTCTTGGAATAAGTTCTTTTACTTTTTTGCCATATCCAGTAAAATAATCCATGAGCGTTATTGAATTCTTTATAAATCAAGCTTTTATCTTTGCAGTCATCTCATTTCCTTGTTAAACATAACAAATTCGAAGAGTCACAGCAGTCATGACAATATATCTTTGGTAGATATTTCTTGAATTAAGCTGTTTTTTTTAAACGCGGTCACCATTAACTCCATATTTTCATGGTCATTACAAAGACAAGTTTCTCGTTTATTTACAGTTGGTTTCAGTATCCACAACGGTCGTTTTATGCAAAAACTGGAGTAAATAATTTTACTTTGGTGATTTGTTTGCTTAAATTTAGTGTATAAGTCTTTTAAGGAATCATTTAAGTAGCGTCTTTGTTGTTTATCCTTTTCTTTGGTAACGAACTCCTTCTTTCCTGAACACATATAACTGTTTTCATCTTCTTCAAGGAAGAGCTTAATGTCCAAATTATTTCTTATTGTTTTTATAGTTTCTGATTTCTTTTGTTGATTCATATCGTCAGTATGGGTTTTAATCGTAAGTTCATATTTTCTTAACTTGCCACTTTGGTATTTTAATCTATATAACTGTTTTCGTTGTCGTTCGTTGACAATCTTTAATTCATCGATCTTTTTTTTATGTAACTGTAATATCTTGTTCATGCGATATTTAAGTCTACGTATAATAACTTTGGGACTTAGTTTCTTGATAACTTTTGGAGTCAGAGGAAACTCTTTTTCAATCATCTGATGATATGATAAATGGCTTTGAAATTACACTTACAGGCTTAATCTTTCCTTCATTCTTCCTTTTATAATATTTTTGCCTATCTTTCTCCTTGTGCACTGCGTAAAGCTCTGGGACACTCTTGATGCGAGCTTTTCGAAGTCGTTCAGCCAATCTTTTTTTAACCAACCGATCTTCTTTTGAATCAGCCATAATCACAATACTGAAACAGGATGAGAGGTGATGAAAAAATTATATAAAACAACATTGAAATGTAAATAAATAACAATGATTGATTTCGGTGGTTTCAAAATTGATATCGGTGTGCTTATTTCCACCGAAAACACTGAAGTCAATTCCACTGAAATCAAAATAATTAACAAAATTCTAGATATCTTAAAAAATGAGAAGAATTTTTAATATGGATCTCTTTTATTGATTTCGAATACACAAAACACATATTATTATCATAGTTTAAACATTTTAACTCAAATATTTACGAGTAAAATGAATTCACTGAAATCAATTCTAAGGGTTACCAAGCCACCGAAAACGATTACGTACTTTCATTAAAGGAGTTCCACGGCGACGCACAGACGTGTTATTCTTGCCACCCATGCAGTGCGACTGTCATTTTCTATCACTTCAACTAATATTCTTGAACTCGCTAGATTAAGGAGTTATGAACGGATCTGTGCGTACCACTGATATCAACTCTAAACATCGGACGTGAAGACAACTACTTGTAACTTGTCTACCGAGGCCTATAATGACGTACAAATGTTATAAAATGAATTAATAACTATCTAGTTATTTGTGAACATTTACAAAGTAGTGACATACATTGAAGAAAAAAATATAAAAAATGATTTTCACCTCAATCGGGGGCCGGACGCGGCACCGAGGTCAATATTTTCAAAGTTTTTGATTTTTTTTACTAACTTGCATTTTATTTATTTCAAAAATAACACAAGCTTCACCTTATATTCGGTCATATCTATCATAGAAAATAATATCACGTTCTTAATTATCCATTTCGTACTGCATTTCGACCCGGACACGCTTATTTGAGCCGGCTGAGAATGACCCAATTACATAGCAAAGGTGTATCTTTATACTTATTGCATTAGAAATAGTGTAGTATAGTATTTTAGATTTAATTTGCATTTTTTTAGTGAAATTTGTATTAAAAAATAATAATAATAATCATATAATAGATATTTAGATTAATAAAATTTTAGCTTAAATATTTATTGCCGAAATACTTAGTTAAATATACATTTTTAGATTTAATATTTTTTTACAACTTTAGTATATTCAGATTTACAATGTCAGAAGCAAAGGCAACTCAAATTGCACAATTGATTAAAAAACGAGGAACTCATAAAAGTAAACTCACTAGCTTTTGCAATTATATAAAAGTAATAAAAGATTGCACAGTAGACAAACTTAACCCTTCAAATTTAAGCGAGCTTAAAGCACGGCTTGATAAGATTGAGGACTTGTACTCTGATTATGATGTACTTCAGGGGCAGATCGAGGAGCTTTCCGAGGATCCAGAAGTGAGATATCAGGAAAGGGAAGCGTTCGAAAGCCAGTACTACGATGCTGTCGGCGTTGCCAAGGCCTTGTGCGATGCGTCTTCGGCGGCTTCTCCGTATGCAGCTAGTAATTTGGCTGAGGTAAGCTCAATTGATGTTAACACACAGAGACACAACAATTTCGTAAGACTGCCTAAAATAGAATTGCCTTCATTCAATGGAAACTATCAGCATTGGCTTTAATTTCGCGATACATTTATTCCAATTATTCATTCGAACGATAGCATTGATAAAATAAATAAATTTCATTATCTTCGCGCTTGCTTGCAGGGTAGTGCAGCTTTAATTATTAAAAGCTTAGACTTTAAGGCCAATAATTATGCTTCTGCTTGGGAATTGTTGTGTAAAAGATATGATAACAAGCGCTTGCTTCTGAACAATCATGTACAGTCACTTTTCAACGTCAACTTAATAAAAAAAGAGTCAAGTAAAGCTTTGCGATACATAGTTGATGTCACGAATAAAAATTTGCGTGCTTTGGCAACCCTTTTTTTTTTTTTTTTTTTTTTAACCTGGGGAAATGCCCGCGCATACCACCCTGTTACGGGGAAACAGAGTGGTTATGTGGGACTCGAACCCACTAAAACCACCTGGGTGTTCCTCAGCCGTTCTGCAGCGCTTCTCGGCATCGTCCCTGAGGACCCTTTCCGAGGCACGCCGCCGGTCGTCCAAACGGACCCATCTTTTTGGAGCTTGGCTCTCGACAGTCAATCGTGGGGACGCGACGGAACACGGTCGCGCCCTCTCACCACTAGAACCAGATCAGTGGGCGACAGAAATTCCCCGTTTCCGCCACCCGGTTCTCACCGCAGGGAAGGGACTAGGCCATCTGCCCTCTCTCGCTCTCCCCACAGTCATCGTGCTGTCGTCCAGTGACGGCAGTCTCCATGGCTTCAGCCTGTGACATCTGAGTCGAGGTCTCGGCTGGCCCGGAGGTCACCTTACGTTTTGGCCTTTGGGGGGGCTTGCATGACTTGCCCCCCAGCACGTGGTTTGACGGTGCTCCAGCCGCCGCACACACCATGCAGTGTGGAGCGGCGGTGCATTCTCTGGCCTTATGGTTGGGGCCTCCGCATCGGAGGCACAAGGCACTCCGGTCGACTCGGTCGCACTTTGCTACCACATGGCCCACCTCATGGCATTTAAAACACCGCAGTGGTTTCGGCGGCAAGATGTTGATAGCCGCCGAGACAAATCCCACCAAGAGACGCTTTCTGCCGTCCTCCGTCAGCTTTTTGGCGGCAGTCACTGGACACCTTACTACTGCAGTGCCCATGCCGCGTCTACTCTGACGAATCTCGCTGACTACCACCGTGTCAGGCTGGCATCCCCCTTGTTTGGAGACGGCATCTCGTATGTCTGCCGCCTCCACCGCATCATCTAAGCCAGATATGCGAAATGCGGCCGTTTTCATCGGCCGCGATACCTCAGCAATCTCCGGATCGACTAACTCTCTCATGCGCTCAAGCAGCTTCTCCGTCCGTTCTTCAATGTCTTCACCAGCCACCTCGATGAGGCGGGCACCAGTGGCCGCCGCTCGGTATTTGAAGCCGCCCCGAGTTATGTTTGGGTCAATTTTTCCCTTACATCCCGTTAGCACTTCCAAGTAGCTCACGCCTTGTTCTATTGCCTCAGGTCGCAGTTTAAGTACTACAGCACCTGATTTAGGCGGGCGGAGTCTGACCTTCTTTTTAGGTTTTTGTACCGTTTCCTTAATCGCGGGCCCCTTAGATGTTTGAGGGTGACCCTTCGGCGCAGTTTTTGTTTTTGTTCCCCGCTTAGTAACTGTCGCCCAGCCCTCCTCAGCAGAGGGGGGGGTGGGAGGAGCAGGTTGCGTTGTTTGTTGAGCGTTGGTCCTCGCTCTTCTCGCCTCCTTCTTTTTCGACTTACGCCCCTTTGATGAGATAGGGGCATCAGTCGACGGTCCAGCAATGGGTTCATTTGAGCTCCCTGCTTGTACTCTCCTTTTATCGGCCTCAAGTGGCGGTCTCAATCGTTCCTCCGGCGGCAACCGACGGGCAAGCCCTTCAATGCGGGCGCTCATCATCGTGCCTGTCTGGTCTATGATAAGCCGCCGGAGCTCTTCCACGGACATGTCACCCACGGTGGTCGGACAACGCTCCCGACCGGCAGTCCCCGAGGAAACATTCTTAGTCCGTTTGAGCTCCTCACGGACAAGCTCAAGCTCTCGTCGCAGACCCCCTAAGTCCTCACGCAGTTTGGTGTTTTCTGCGGAGATCCGGGAAATTTCAACGTTGGCGCGTTTGAGCTCCGTCGCAGTTGTTTGGAAGCGGCTCTCTAACAACTTCGCATCCTCACTTGTGTTGCGCTCATATAGTCCTCCCAGCATTTTTGTAATTAGAGACGCTGCGTCCTTAAGGGCTTTAATAGAGGTCCCTTTCAGGTTGCCCGACTTCGCAGCGACTTCTAGAACAGCCGCGACACCGTCCATGCCCCGCTGGAGCACTTCGCATGTCGCCATCTTATCTACATCCTCTTCCGGTGGGTCGTCGAGACTGTCTCTCGGCCTTTGCGGTGGTCTCACTTTTGGAGCCGTTTTCGCAGACTCCTCATCTGTGTCGAGCATCTCTTGAAGCTCCCTGGCCGCTTTTGCCTCAGCTCTTATTCTGCCCACTCCAATATACTGGCCAGTGGTTGGGGGGCGGCCTCTACCACGTTTTTCTCCAGCTAGCACCTTTGCCGGAGTTGTGGTGATCTCACCAGAGTCGTCTGACTCATCCGATAATATTCGTTCCGAAGAGCGAGGACGTTTACGCCCGGTCAAGTCCGATATACAAGAATCTACAGTCATCTGAGATGAGCAAGATGAACTGCGACTCCTGGTAGATCTCTCAAATCCTTCTGTGTCCCTCAGTGTCGTTGACACTGGTAGCCGTGTAAGACGTACAACTGCCTCCCGTGATGTTGACGGGGCCGGCTGCTTAAAAGCAGACTCCTCGGACTTCTTAGTTGTTTCCGCGGACTGCAGAGCAGTCTTTGGCGGCTCCTTCGGCTTCATGGTTTTTTCCGCGGACTGCAGAGCAGTCTTTGGCGGCTCCTTCGACTTCTCGGACTTCTCGTCCGCATCACCTAGACGTCCAAACATGTTTTTAAAATTTAATGACTCCATAACTTAACCCACGAGTATGGGAGAAAACAAAAAGTCCACCCGGGCAGAGATCCCAGTACCCGGGTAACCCTATTACACCTCGGAGGTCGGGCGGTATCCGAGGGTTGGCGCTAGCTGGCTGACATAACCCGTCAGCCACCCGAAGGCGCCCCGACGTCACGTGTCCCAACGCCGGGACTTTAGGGATTTTTTAGAGAGGTTATCTCCTCGCAGGGACACCCAATAAAGGGCAGCCCCCCCGGCCCCACTCCGCGTGGGGTTACGGGTCGGCCGGTGGTTGCCGAAGCACCCGTTGGTCATGACTACCATGACCCAACGAGCCCACCGCCCTCGCTGGCACCGCTGCTACCCAGAATAATTCCAGGACGCCGGTCCAGCCCGAACCGCGCAGCCGCTACCTGGCATATGGCCAGGACGCCTGCCCGGAGCCCACACTCGCGAGACTTCTCGCGTGGCGGAGGCAGAACTCCGCCGCCCTCACGTCGTCTGACATCAGCCGTGGCGGCTCAAAGATACTTTGAGCGGCCACGTTGCCCGGGGTGCACCACGAGGAGGTTGCCAGACTTCGCACCCCTGGCAACCCTAGATCAACCCACTCAGTATTGGGATACTTTAATCATATACATGATGTCCACAAAGTTAGACGATATCACAAATAGAGAGTGGGAGGAATACCGTAATAATCGGAGTGAGCCACCTACCTTAGAAATATTTATTTCTTTTTTAACTAATAGAGCTGACCTTCTAGAAACATTAGAAGAATCCAGAAACAATAAGAATAAAATTGAGGGTCAAACAATTCAAAAACCAAAAAGTTTTGTTGTTTAAAATTTTACACCTAAATCTAAAGTTTCTTCATGTCCTTTATGTCATAAAAATCATCAATTATTTGTATGTGACTTATTTCGTAAATTATCAATCGAATCACGCCTGCAGAAGGCTAAAGAATTCAAGGTTTGTCAAAATTGCCTAAGATTAGGTCATCATGAGTCAAGCTGTAAATTAACACACTGTAAATATTGTAACAAAAAACACAATACCCTTTTGCATGTGGATGAGCCTAAGGAAATAATTTCACATGAAAGTATAGTTCTGTCAGCCGATCATTCTGGGGTCAGTACTAATGCATGTAACATATTGCTATCTACAGCGCTGGTCAAGGTCATCGACAAGCACGGCAAGCAGCATGTTGCTAGATTCTTGCTAGACAACGGCAGCACGGGCAATTTTGTCACCCAGGACCTCTGCACTAGGCTGAATATTGCTCAACATCACACAAATTCGAAGGTAACAGGCATAAATAACCTAACGTCATGTAGTTCACGGTCTTGCTCTCTTACATTGGAGTCTTATAATGGCTGCTATAGGACGGACATTGACTGCTTCGTTTTACCTCAAATTACTTCTTTATTACCCAACAAGTATATAAACACACATGAATTGAATTTACCGTCAGGCATTTGTTTGGCCGATCCAGGGTTTAACGTGCCGTCAACCATTGATGTGCTCGTAGGGGCGGACGTGTTCTGGCAGGTGATCGGCACAAATCGCATAGAGCTAGATAAACATAAACCGGTCTTATTTGAAACAAAATTCGGATGGTTAGTATCAGGCGCCATCTATCAATCAGGGCTAAAGGGTCATGTATGTATGTTCACTAATAACGATCTATCACAATTTTGGGCATTAGACTCAATACCTCATAAATATAAATTAAATTCAAATGAACAAGCATGTGAGCAATCTTTTATAGACACCACTTATCGCGATCATGAGGGAAGGTACGTAGTTTTTATGCCTCTTAAAGAATCACCAGAAGCTCTGGGCGATTCAGTAGCTATGGCTAGACGTAGGTTTCTTTCTCTAGAGCGCCGTTTGGATAGAGACCCTGACATGAAGCGGCTGTATGTAAACTTCATGAAGGAATACATAGAGTTGGGACATATGACTGAAACATTGTCAGAGCAGCCTAGCTCTATGTATTGCTTCCTTCCACATCATGGAATTTACAGAGAACATAGTTCAACCACTAAATTACGTGTGGTCTTCGATGCCTCGGCTACACGTCGTCTGGTAAGTCACTTAATGACATCCATCGTGTTGGTCCGACGATACAAGACGATATAATTTCTATTTTAATACGTTTTCGCCAACATCAATATGTCGTTTCAGCAGATTGCGAGAAAATGTATCGACAAATAAAAATAGATAAAAGTCAACGTCCGTTGCTGTGCATTTTATGGAGGTTCGATCCCTCGCATCCACTTGCAACGTATACTCTTAATACCGTAACATATGGTACGGCTTCAGCACCGTATCTAGCTACCAGATTCCTTTCACAGTTAGGCTACGACTCTACTGACCCAGATGTCAGTAGAGCCATCTGCCACGATTTTTATGTTGACGATTTCATCTCTGGGGCGGATTCAGTAGAGTCGACCGTAGAGTTGTGCAAAGGTGTTATTGCAACACTTGAAACCGCAAAATTCCGTCTTAGAAAATGGCACTTCAATAACGAACAGATACGCAGCGCTGTTAGTGATCATAGTAAGGTATCAGGTAGCGTCGACTTCGGGGCGAAAGAGCCTTCGAAAACTTTAGGTCTTAATTGGATTTGCTCTAAGGACGTTTTTAATTTTTATATTAATATAAGCCCAGAAGAAAAAATAACGAAAAGATTCATATTATCAGTAATTTCACAAGTGTTCGATCCACTTGGTCTTATATCGCCTTGTATTGTTGAAGCAAAATTACTTATTCAACAGTTGTGGATACTGAAATGCTCGTGGGATGAAATAGTTCCTCCAAACATAAGTAAGCAGTTCAAAGAGTTTTTTCAATAATTACAAGGATTAAACTACATAGAAATCCCAATATGCATTAAAGTAGAGTCTGCAACGGATACACAGATACATATCTTCACAGACGCCTCGGAGAAGGCATACGGGGCATGTGTTTATATACGGAGTTCATCTAGTGATGGGTCAGTCAGTGTTCGACTTCTAGCGTCCAAGAGTAGAGTAGCACCTATCAAAGCGACAACTATTCCACGTTTAGAACTTTGTGCGGCTCTAATGGGTGCAAGACTGTGTGCGAAGGTTGTTTCGTCTGTTACCTTTGAATATAGTGCTCGTATATTTTGGACCGATTCTATGATTGTGTTGGGCTGGCTTTCCTCTTCATCGAGTCAACTAAAATCCTTTGTACGTCATCGTGTTACCGAGATTCAGGACACATCAAATGGATGGCGCTATGTACCATCAAAGCAAAATCCAGCTGACTTAGTTTCTCGGGGCTTGAGAGCAAATTTATTAGGCAACACTACATTATGGTGGTCGGGTCCTTCTTTTTTAAAATTAGATTCTTGTCATTGGCCTATAAAACCAAACCAGAATAATAATGTAAAGCTCCCAGAATTACAAACATTTCATATTAAAGAAGTGCAATCAGAATCTAATATAATATCTATTCTAATACAAAAATTATCTAGTTTTACTAAATGAATAAGAATCTTTTCATTTATTTTACGGTTTATCAATAACTGTCGGAGTAAAGGTTCAATAAAATTTAATAGTCATTTGTCAAATGTTGAATTTAAAATAGCAAAACTAAAACTTCTACAAGTAGCTCAACAAGATTCCTTTCCAGTAGAGAGAAAACTTCTCATGGAAAACAAACCATTGCCGTATAAAAATAGACTCTTATCTTTATCTCCATTCATAGATTCGGATAATCTTATTAGAGTAGGCGGTAGGCTTAATAATTCTTGCTATGATTATAATGTGAAACATCCCATTCTTCTTTGTGGCAAGCATCGTTTGTGTCACCTTATATTTGACATGCTACACACTACCTATATGCATTCCGGTCCACAACTTTTATTAGCTACGGCTAGGCATAATTATTGGCCATTAGGGGGGACCAGATTAGCTAAGCGAATAGTACACTCTTGTGTCAAGTGTTCTCGATTTAAAGCCCAGGCATGTCAACCTGCTATGGGTGACTTACCTAATAATAGAGTACAACTAGAGTATCCATTTCTCGAGACCGGTGTTGACTATGCCGGGCCAATGCTGATAGCAGATCGTAAAGGTAGAGGGTGTAAATTAATAAAAACTTACATTTGTGTCTTTGTTTGTTTAGCCACCAAGGCGCTACATCTAGAGCTTGTCTCAGACCTCACTAAAGAAGCCTTCATTGCGGCTCTTAACAGGTTCATAGCACGCCGGGGGAGGCCGCAGAGCGTATTCTCAGATAACGGCACGACATTTGTAGGAACATTTAACGAGCTTTCCAAATTATTAAAAGAACCTTTGTTGTCATCCCATCTTGTTGACCAAGGTATTCATTTTTCATTTATCCCTGCTTATACTCCCCATTTCAGCGGTTTGTGGGAGTCAGCAGTTAAATCCGTGAAACATCATCTTCGTCGCGTGTTAAAGCTGACGCACTTAAGCTTTGAAGAGATGACAACTCTTCTGATACAGATAGAAGCAATTCTAAATTCTCGGCCTATCACACCTCTTTCCCACGATCCGTCAGATTTATCCTTTCTCTCTCCAGCCCACTTCCTCATCGGACGATCTCTCGTTGCATTGCCTCATCCGCAACTGGTTGACAAAAGAATCTCGTCACTTCAAAGATTCCATCGCATCGAAGCCCTAAAACAACATTTCTGGTCACGTTTTCATAATGAATATGTTTTGTGGCTTCAGAAAAAGTCGAAATGGCACACATCCAAGGGCGAGCTGAAGGAGGGTGCACTTGTCATCATCAAGGACAAGACGGCGCCTCCACTGATGTGGCTTCTTGGTCGCATTCTACGCATTCTACCCGGACAAGATGGCATCGCTAGAGTCGCCGACATCAAAACTAAAAAGGGCATCATCCGCCGGGCCTTCAACAACATCTGCCCGCTGCCAATCACTAGTGTTGAAGACACTTCAAGGCGGCGAGTCTATGGATGTGACAACACT